ATTAAAAGTTAATTCGAAAGCTCCTTAAGTTATTAATTAAGTTAATAAACATAAAAAAAAATAACTTATTTACTTAAAAAGTTGAATTAACTTAACTTTTTAACTTAACTTTAACTTATTAACGCGTTAATGCCCAGCCTTGGATTTAAGTATATTACGGTAATATATACTTAACAAACTAACAGTATAATTTATGTTAAAAACTTATGGTAGRTAAATAGTCGATCATGATGTCATGTTTTCGCTTTGTTTTTCATTTCAAAAATGATCATTGACTGTAGTATTGTGCACCTACACTGMATGACAAAAGATGTACCTATAATATCTGTGAAATAGTAATAAATTATCTAAATTTTTTGTTGAAAACAAATTAACKAACCTCCATTTGTATCTAGAGTTATAGTAGGTATCATTATACACAAAAGAGAAAGAAAAATTAAAACGTATATTTATGGATACAAAACACCTACTAGATATAACCAACGAATATTTTCAAAAGATACTATTTATATAAAATATGTATCTAACATAATATAATATTATATTATAATAACTTAGCAGGTTACCCTAGTTACGACCCATAACTGGGTATTATATTATGTTGTAATATCTTCAGAACTCGTTTACAATAATAATAATAGTAATAATAATAAGAATAATAATAATAATAACTTACGAACGGGCCCGAAGTAATCTCGCGCGACTCGGCGCGATAGTCAATATAACGCCGCCGTCTAAAAATAGATCGGGGCGTCGCGCCCGCTAGTCGCGAATGGCGACGAAAACGTACGACGCCGTTCGTAAGTTTTCTTGTGCTTGTGCTCGTACGGGTCACACACACACACACATACTTTAACATATTATTGTGTATTAAAGATATACGTGCATGTGTGTGCATGTGTGTGCGTGCACCGAGCGGCTGCTGGCCGCGTCCGGCTAAAAGTAAAAGCTTGGCGCTATAAATAAACGACGAATCTTTCGACCAATCGCGAGGCGTGTTATGTGTCAAGTGTAACTCGCTTGTCTTCCTATGCGAAACAGTGACGAGTCCTGTTCAATCCGGTGAAGTCCTGCGAAGTCAGCTGCCGCGCCCGTCCTCCAGAGCTCAGGTTGGACATTTATTTTTCTCGTTATTATTGCGGTTGTCAATATTATATCATACTATCATATTATTATTTTCTCTTCGTCGTAGCTGTAAAATATTACAACATTATTACTACGATTTAATTATTTTAACATTTGTTTTTTCCATTTTATCCGTTCGTACCAACAATATATTATTGTTSTATATAGGTACTTTTACCTTCGTATAAATAATATTTTCATTTATTATAAAAGACACCGTAAATTTAAAACACCCSCRACGAAACTAAGTATAATATAATATAATATTACTATAATTTATTATCATATGTTTCACATAAATTATTATGTTATATAACGTTGCCTCGCCCAGAGGAAYTTAAATACGCGCAATTATTATCATATGCGTATATTATATAATAACATAATATTGATATTATGATATTATGACAGTGTTGGCAGTCGTCGTGAGAACTTAACACTTTTGTTAACTTGCTGTAAAATATCCCAACGGCATAGCAAGTCGAAATGATATTTGTTCACGAAAATCGCACTCCGGCGGCGGTGTATTTTAACGATCCCCGCTCCCGCCGCCGCATCCGCCGCCGAATACGTCATCGCGACTATTATTTATGTATTTTTAATTTTTAATTTTATATTAATGTATTAATCGCACGACCGCGGTGCAAACAATATTATTGTACGTTCGCAACATTAACGCCGGTGTTTTATTGTAATGATTTCAGATTATTTTTATCCATTTGAAAATCACAACAAAACAACCCGTCAACCATGGCCGACGATGAAGTGAGTCCGGGCCCACGTCCGGCCCGTTTTTGGTATTCCCCCC